GCCTTTTCTTAACATCAAAACAGGAGTCCTGCAACGTCGTTCAAACTTCCAGGCTGGTGGTTCAAACTCACTAGCTGCTCCTTGGAAACCCTATACAGGGTCGCTATAGGTTATAATCAACTCAACAGCACTTAACAACAACCAATATTAAAACAAGGAGTCCTGGCACTATAAGGTAAAGCACTGAACTACAAGGTCAACAGTTCACACTCACCAACTGCTCTTTGGAAACCCTATGCAGGGTCAATATGAGTCAGAACTGTCTCAACAGCACTTAACAACATCAAATATCAAAACACGCTTTTGTTTTGTTTTAATTTAGTTTATATCAAAACTCTATAAAGATTAAAGAAAAAAGGAAAGTGGCCCACATGTCTTCCAAGTGGCAAAAATAAGTCAACCGAACTCAATATTGTGGCACTGTGGGATAAAGCACTGGACTGACTGCAAGGTCAGTTTGATCCACAAGGTTTGCGGTTCAAATATCATCAGCCTCTCCTGGGAAACCCTACACAGAGTTGCTATGAGTCGGAACTGACTTGACAGCACTTAACAACAAGAAGACTCACTATTGGCAATGCTTAATCTACAAACTGATATGCCAAATATAGACAACAATTGAGTGGAATAAACTAGGGTACTGGGTGTGTGTGTGTGTGTGTGAAAATGTGTATTTCTTTTTAAAGATTGAACCATAGACCAACACGTATTTTTATGTTTAAGATGTTTCCCAGAAGGCCACAAATAACAAATAGTAATTCTCAGCAAAAAATTTCTGTGCCACGGACTTGCTTTTTGTTCATCCCTATCAGTAATTTGCAATTAAGTACATCTGTATACAGCATAACCACTGGAATACAAAGTTTCATCCCACAGACACCAAAATAAAGAGTTGTTTTTTTACAATCACCTAGTCCTGTTTCACAACTGAGGAACCACCATAGCAACTTCAGAATTTTGTATGCGCCAAGAAAAGGGGTTATCTAACTGACCCCACTGAGCTCCCTGCGGAGGAACTGGGCCAGTCTCTGCAAGTTGTTGCTATGAAGGCCAAGGAAAATCTTGAATTTCAGGGAACCAGGAATGAATCTACTCAGGGCTCATTTGGTGTGCCAAGTGAAAACTTGTCTGCTCTCCCCAATCACCATAGGGTTTAGAGTGCCCTTCCAAAAGGATTCCAGGAAGATCCAAAGTTATGGCACAGAAGCAAAACAAAACAAAAACTGGCCAGGCAAATTCCCATGATGCCAGGTTACTGGGTAGTTTCCAAGGGCAAAGTGTTCCAGAAAAACGCACATAGTTCAAGCTCCCCAAAGAAATTTCAGACAAATATGTACAGCAGCTCCTCTTTCAGAAAGCCTAATTACAGAATTGTAATTTAGAAGCTTGGATGAAGTTTAGATGCAGAAACACATGCAAAACTTTTCCCGGTCTCTTAGGAATCCTAACCTGCCACTGAGTGTCCTTTCTCCTCATTTCATATGGCCACCTAGAAGATTACTCAAGCAATGTATGACATAATGTACGCTGCTGCTATGATAACCTACTCAGCAATTTCAGGATCTCTCCAAACTTTTTCTAAGCTTACATGGTAACTAAAATGTCTTCTTGCAAGTACTCAAAAGTTTGCCATCAAAAGGAAAAAAAAAAAAAGCTGAGTATCATTCAAAACAGGCCCCTATTCCCAAGAATCTGTGACAAAGGTAAAAAAATAAAATTATCTTGAGTCTCAATTAAGGCATTCACATTTTGGGATTTCTGGACAAAACATTCAGTAGTACAACATATTCACATCAGATCCACTTAAACTTCAGATTAGTAAAGTAAGATATAACACTTGGCTACATATAATCTCCTCACCCATTTTTAATTCTCTTTCCTCATGCTCTCTTCCCCAGATATATAAATGGAAATTTTTGACTGTAAAAATGAGGTTCTTATTTTAAAGTAACAAGGTACAAAAAAACTAGAGAGAGTCCAGTCGTCTCAGCTTCACCAGAATCCTCTCAGTCAAATGTGAAATGCATAGCAAGAAAGCAGTCATCTTCCTGCCATGGAATCTCCAGCGGATTACAGTGTATATATGAATTTTTGAATGTTAAAAGAAAATACCTGTTTTGGTTCATAAACCAAATTTTTAAAACTTAATCCTAAAAATAATCAAATAATTTAATATTTTCTTTACCAAGTGTTGTCAAAGCAGTCTTTCAACCTAAAGTGTGTTCCAAATATCAACTCAAAACTGCCATGAAAAAAGTAAACAAAAACATATACATGTGTATGTATTAGAGCTCACAACACTACTTCCCAACAGTACTAAAGCAAATAAAGCAACAACAGAAAGTTTTCATATGATAAAACAGGGTATAGAAATGAAGTTTCACTATTTATAAATAGGGTAAGAGACTAACAAGATCCTGGTTTTTCCAAAAGTCTTAGCACTTCCACTTTGTGTGTGACCTTAGGAAAATTCCAGTCAAAATTAAAGCAAGGGAAAAGTAGAGTTAATGTGCCAGCCCACAAATATAAGCAGTGCTTACCTATGTAAGTAAATTAAAAGAGAAGTTTTTTAACTCCTGAACAGTGTTCCAACTGCTCTGTCCTCTGTAAATGACTTAAAAAGTCTTAGGAAGGCCCCAGGAAGATCACAAGAAAAAATATTTAATTACAGAATCAGTCTAATTCCCAATAGTAAATCACAGGAAATATTTA